CACCGGCGTACTTGAGGTGCTTCAGACGGACGCAGTGGGCTGTCGGCAAGGTAGGTGAGTGTCTAGGGGTCATCTCTAGGCTGGTTAGCCTTGATTTTGATCAAAGATCGGCGCAAGAAACGGTCGCGATGCCTCGTGTGAACGCTTTGAAGAGTGACTTCTCGAAGTCACTCGGTCCTACGGAGAGACACTGGCCCGCCGTCCCCTCTGTCCCGACCCCCTGCCAGGTCGACCACCACGCTCGAGCTGAGCCCGGCGCACGCCGCGGTGGAGGGCCGCCTCGAGCAGCGCCCGCTGGGCGAGGCGGCGCCAGCTCGCCAGCCGGTCGTCCCACCCCTCCGGCGCAGCCGCGTCGTCGCGAGGCAGCGGCGGCGTCGCGTACTCGAAAGCAACCAGGCATCGCGACAAGTCGTCTGTGAGGCCGCGGCTGCTAAACGTGCGCGCGATGCCTCCGCGCGGGGTTGAGGCGTCGGCGGCGGCGGCCTCCTCCGCCTCCACGTCGACGAGGCGCCACCGTACGGAGCCGTCCAGCATGAGCGCTGCTCCGGCGGGCAAGTGCAGCACGGCGGGCTCGAGGAGTCCGGGTGCGGGCAGCACCTAGGAAAGGTCTAGGAAAGGTCGAGGAAAGGTCCTGGTGCGGGCAGCACCTAGCAGAAGGGAGGAGTGAGCCGCGTGAGTCGCGTGGATCGTGGGCGTTCGCGGGATGACACGGCTTTTGCAGTGGGTGCGCGGGCGATGGGTCGGGGACTGGGGGCTCGGCGGGGGGCTCAGGCGTGCGTGTCGTGTCGGGGCTCTCGGGTGGTAGGTAGCATGCGGCTGTGTCATCAAGAAGTGTCTCTCCCCTCACGTCGACGCGCTGACAAGAGGAGGCGGCGCGAGAGGGGAGCCTCAAGGCGGGGGCGAGCTCGGGGAGAACGGGGGGCTCTGATCGGGCAGACGAGAACCGCGACATGCGCATGCTAGGGAGGGGGGGGGGGGGACTCCCTGGTACTAGTAGTGCGCTACCTACCAGAGCGCGTGGCACCTCGATCACGGCGCTGCCGCTCGCGAGGGGGAGGAGGACCACCACGGAAGACGACCTCGCCCCCTCGGCAATGCGGCGGCGCCTGGCGGGGAGAGGACGGGCGAACGCACAGGGGCCGTCAGAGTACGAATCGGGCTCATGCTAACATCCACCTCGCGAGCCGACCGTCTGGCTCAGCGAGGCTGCTGTGGAGCACTCGCGGGCCGATTTCTGGCCCAGCGAGGCCGCTGCGGGACACACCGGCGGCTCGGTTCGCTCCTCAACGCAAACCCGGTCGAGCAGAAATTCAGGTGTGTGTGTAGATGCGCTCCAGCGAGGGCCGCGTCCTTGAAACCGCCGACGCGTTCCTGGACGACAAGGCCGATCGACTCTGGAGGACGCGGTCGGCGGCGCTTCGCGAACTGGCACAGAAGGTTCGAGACGGCACGGATCTTGTGCTCTTATGCGCGGGTAGGATTGAGTCCTGTCACGGCGATCTGCTGAGGAAGGGGATCCTAGCCGAAGCGGCGCAACTCGAGGCCACCAGCAAGAGGAGGCCGCGCTCCGACAAGGGCAAGCCGAGGGGTCCTCGGGGGCCCAGGGCCGATTCGGTGGAGACGGCGGCCCGCATGGGGGTGCTGTCGACCTTCTACCTCCGGCACGCTTATGGACGGGACAGCCCGGGGCTGCATGAAGAGGACGGGGTGCTCTCCACGAACGGGGGGGTTCTGTGCGCAGGGTGCGGGGAGGAGGCGCCCGGGCTCGGGGCGCGGGACGGGGAGGGGGGTGGCGGACAGGGGGGGGGCGTGGTCAAGGAAGGAGGGGGCGTCTCGGGGGAGCGGGGGAGGAAGAGGGGGAGGGACCCCGACTGAAGAGGAGGC